AAGAACCCTGTAAATATGGAAAAAAAAAAAGAAAATAGTTCAACAACCCCAAGGGGTCACAGTGGAACTGCAGTGGTGGACTCCAATCAAAAGGAAATTGTCAAAATGAAAGAAATGGAATTCAGAATATGGATGGCAAATAAGATGAATAGAATTGAAGAGAAAGTTGAAAACCAACAAAAAGAGAAGCCAAAAAATATTTTAGGAAATCAATGGAAAAAATGAAAAAGTCACTAAAGGTCTAGAAAACATAAGAAAGGATATAATAGAACTTAAAGAAATGAAAGAGTCATTCAGGGAATTTCAAAACATAGCAGAAAGATTCAACAACAGACTAAATCAAGCAGAAAAGAGAATCTCAGAGCTTGAAGACAAGGTTCTTGAGCTAACCCAGTCACTCAAAGATGTGGAAAAGAGAATAAAGATTGAGTAATGACTCAGAGAACTATGGGATTATATGAAGCAAACTAATATATGAAGTATAGGTATCCCCGAAGGAGAACAATAAAGAGCAAAAAGCATGGAAAATCTGTTCAAGGGGATTATTGAAGAACACTTCCTTGGTATCTACAGGGATTCAGACATCCAGATACATGGTCATTGAATACCAGGAAGACTCATAGCAAATAGGACATCTCCAAAACACATGTTAATCAACCTGGCCAAAATCAAAATGAAGGAGAAAATACTACAAGCAGCAAGATGAAAACAATAACTAACCTACAAAGGAAAACCCATTAGGCTAATGTCATATTTCACAGATCTAGAAAAAATAATCCCAGGCTTCATCGGGAACCAAAAAAAAGCCTGAATAACCAAAACAATATTAAGCAAAAAGAACGAATCTGGAGGCATCACATTACCTGCCTTCAAATTATATTACAAGGCTATAGTAACCAAAACAGCATACTACTGGTATAAAAGTAGAGACATGGATCAATTGAACAGAAAAGAGAACCCAGAAATAAAACCATCTACCTACAACCAACTGATCATTGACAAAGCAGACAACAACATACACTGGGGAAAGGAAGCCCTATTCAATAAATGGTGCTGGGAAAACTGGATAGCCACATGCAGAAGAATGAAACAGGATCTCTATCTCTTGCCATGTACAAAAATTAATTCAAGACAGATAAAAGACATACATGTAAGGCAGGAAACCATAAAAATTCTAGAAGAAAATGTAGGGAAAACTCTTCTAGACATTGGCCTAGGCAAAGAATTTATGACTAAGATCCCAAAGGCAAATACAGCAACAACAAAAATAAATAAATGGGACTTAATTAAATTAAAAAGTTTCCATACAGCAAAGGAAATAATCAACAGAGTGAATAGACAACCTACAGAATGGGAGAAAATATTCACAGACTATACAACTGACAAAGGACTAATATGCAGAATCTACAAAGAACTCAAACAAATCAGCAAGAAAAAAATGGACAATCCCATCAAAAAGTGGTCAAAAGACATTAACAGAAGTTTTTCAAAAGAAGATAGAAAAATGGCCAACAAATACACGAAAAAATTGCTCAACATCACTAATCATCTGGGAAATGCAAATTAAATCCACAATGAGATACTACCTTACCCCTTAATCATGGTCAAAATGGCCATGATCAAAAAGTCAAAAAACAATAGACACTGGAGTGGATGCTTAAAGGAATGCTAATACACCGTTGGTGGGACTACAAATTAGTACAACCTCAACAGAAAACAGTATGGAGATTCCTTAAAGAAATAAATGTAGACCTACCATTCAATCTAGCAATCCCGCTGCTGGCTTTCTACCCAGAGGAAAGGAAGCAATTTTATAAAAAGGACATCTGCACTCAAATATTTATCATGGCACAATTCACAATTGCACAAAGATGGGACATCAACCTAATTGCCCATCAATTGATGAGTGGATAAGGAAAATGTGCTCTGTGTCTGTATGTGTGTGCGTATAGATATATAGATATATAGATATATAGATATATAGATATATATCCCATAGAGTACCCATAGAGTACTACTTAGCCATAAAAAAGAATGAAACAATGTCAATTGCAGCAACTTGGATGGAACCAGAGACCATTTTCCTAAGTGAAGTATCACAGAACAGAAAAGCAAATACCTGTGTTCTCATTAATAAGTGGCAGCTAAATGATGGGTATACCTGGGTACAAAATGATTTTATGAAGGACCAAGTTTATAACCAAGAAAGAGGAACCCAGAAAGGGGAGTATGCTAGGGGGGCTGTGGGATAAAAACTTACCTATTTGGTCCAATGAACACTACTCTGGTAACTGGTACACCAGAGCCCTGACTTAAGCATTATATAAGGTATCCATATAACAAAAACATTTGTACCCCCTTACTTAATATTTTGAAATAAAAAAGGAAGAATCAGTAAACTTGAATATAAATGAATAGCCATTATGTCATCTAAAGAACAAAGAGAAAAGATAGTGAATAAAAATGACCTGTTAGACATCGTTATGTACACCAACATATGTAGAACAGTCTCAGAAAGAAAGAAAAGGGGGAAGAAAAATATATTTGTAGAAACAAAGGCTGAAAACTTAGCAAATTTGATGTAAAACATTAATCTGTAGACTCTGTGTTAGCTTTTAGTAAAATAAAAACAAGCATATCCACTCCTGGACACATCATAGTGTAACATAGAAAATGGCCTGGGAAAAAAAAATGGCAAAAAGTTATTTTCTATCTCTTTAAAACATCCCCTACTCTTTTTGGAAACTGAAGCCTGCATCCCTGTCTCAGGCAGGCAGTCAAGAGGAGCCTGGGGAATGTCTTTTGTTCTTTGTGTTACAGGAGATAGCTCAGCCATCCAGGCCCTGGCACCGGCCTCCTGGGTGGTTGGAGGTCACAGACTTTGTCATTGGTAGAGATGGGACGATTAGAATAGTTAACCACAATAGCCTAGAACTGAGGGGGTTCCCTTTAAAAGCTCTGTATTTCTGCTTGTGTTCAGGAAATTTGGATTTTGAGACAGAAGGTCTACCATTTATTCCTCCTTTGCTGGCAAAGTAATAAACTTCTCTTTCCTCCTCCTCGAACCACTTGTTCTCATTTGTTCTTCTGATGCAGCATCAAGGATAAGTGCCAAGGTTTGGGCAATAATAGTAAATCTGTGGAAACACAAAAAGAGAATACTGAAAGTGTTAACCCACAAAGGGGGGTTCGATGTTGCCCACCACACAGAAAGCCAATTACTGAGACAGCGAGGATTGTCAGGAGGAAAGGATTTATTTCTCTGGACACAACAGGGAGGGGGAGGTATGAACTGTCTCGAATCCGGCTCCCCGACCAACAGGGTGAGGGGGTTTTCTGTAGGTGAACTGAGTAATGCACAAGGGGTGTGAACATCCTTGAGCATTTGGGGTGGAGCGCAGGGCACGCAAGCGCAGTAGGAAATCGTGCTAGTAAATATGTCCCATGATCAAAAAATGGCAGAGAAGTCCCACATAGGGCAGAGATTTTTGTGTTATAATTAACTAGGGGTTAATATTGGTCATTCTTTCAGCCTTGTGTGCAGGCTCAGTGGGTCTTCGTGCACGGTCTGTGGCAGAGTATAGCTTATCTTGTCTTCTCTGGACAAGCAGCTGGTGTGAGGCTTTGTAGGAGGTTCTGCCATTCTTGGGAGAGAAACTCAAAAGAGAATGCAACAGTACAATAGAAAGTTACAAAGTTCTGGGATCATTACATTTTGCTAAGGAATTCTCTATTTTCTGCCTCACTGAGACTGTGGCTGCTAAGTTCCCAGGGCTGAGATAAATCTCACTGTCAAGGCCACTTAAGAGCTGCCAGCCCCAGCCATAATGTGAACACTGAAAACTCATTTGAAATATCAGGAAACTAAAACATTATTGAGAAAACATTTTCTTGCTTTATAGAAGTGGTTACAAAAGCAGCAAGAGAAAAACTTATCTTAATGCACAATGTGACACAGTAAGTTTACTTCCAATCAGAAACGATGGTGGCAAGGCAGTGGGATGGCATATTCAAAGAGCTGAAAGAAGAAAATTATAAACTAAGGATGCCATATTCAGCATATCTCTTTTAAAAGTAAAGAAAAAGTAAAAAATAAAGATATTCCCAGATAAACAAAGACAGAAAATTTGCTGCCAGAAGTTCCACCTTAAAAGAAATACTAAAGGAAGGCTTTAGAACAGAAAGAAATAGTTCTTAGATTTGAAAATACCGGATTGTTTTCTCAAAGGAGCTGAGTCAGTGTGTGTGTCTATGTGTGTGTGTACATACCACATGTTCCAAACTTTCTTGTGCAGTTTAATGTGTATTATTTTAGAAGCAAAAATATTAGAAACATATAAAAAATATCCTTTGAAGATTTATTTTAATTTTTTATACTTATTTAGCCTTGAAAATTTTCAATAATAAAGTAGTAATTTAAGTTTCAAGTCCCTCTAGCTAAAGATAGCAAAGATTAATTCAATGGAAAATTATAAAAAAATGTATTCAAAATTCACAAAGATAAGTAAGTATAAAAAATTTAAGTTCTATGTCTGAGTTCATGCAGGGCAAGAACATATCATGTGGGAAAGGCAGAATTACAGAGAGAGGATATCCCGAGAGCAGTATTCCCTGAGAAGTAAAAGAAATGGCAAGGACAAGTCCAGATTTTTAAAACCTATCGAATTTAAGGAGCGCAAGTATAGATCTCCAAGGAGCCAGGTAATATCTGTTCCCAGCAGCAAAGAACGTAAAACTGAGGTCTATCTCTGACAGGTTGAGGAGGCGGAATCGGAAGGAGGGGTGCAGGAGGCTCAGGAGGTCCAGGGATGAACAGGGCAGGGTGGTGGGGGGGGGTGGCTGTGGTTCAGCCTCCTCCTCTCAACACCCCTCCCCCACCTTCAGGAGTCCTTTGTGACGAGGAGGCCACAGCTCTGTGATGCGGGCCTGGGCCCTAGTCAATAGGCCCACAGAACACGCCCAGGGTTCAGTTGCTTGAGGGCTACAATGTGATTCAGAAGATGGAGAATCAAGTCTTTCCTCTGAAATCCATTAGTGCCACATGGCTGAGCCCCAGCTCCCCTCCCTGGGTGGTGGACATCACCCTGGGCCTTCTGTGTGGACTGGGGCTCTTCCTCCTGTTACTCCCCTGCCTCGGGGGAGATCCATCCCCACCACAGCTTGGGCAGGAAAGAAATATCAGGAAGGTAAGAAACCCTCGGCCCAGACCCAACAACGATTCTCTTTTCTTTCTATTATTAGGTCCACTTTTCCACATCAACTATAGCCTCCTGGGATGAGAATCTCCCCATCCTTCTAGGCCCAGGCAGGGCAGGGTGGGATTAGAGTAGCATGGCATTTCTACTGAAGCTCCCACACCACCTGTGTGGGTGCTCAGGAGGCTTCAGGACATAATCAAATACTGGGACTCAAAGGCCAGGCTGGGTTTATGAGAGAGTTGAGATCTCTGTAGGAGGACGGCCCTGGGGCATCTGTCTCCTTCCTCAGGCCCAGCCTTTCCTCTGTGTTGGGATATCTGAGGGCTGTGCTGAGCCCCTGAGAACCTCCCATCAGGGGCTAGAGTGGCCTCTGTCCTCCTCGGGAAGCAGAATGCTGCCTGACAGGTCAGAGGCGCCCATAGGTCTAAGTTGGTGAATTTCTCGAGAAGAAGAACGGTGACAGAAGACACCCATGAGGGATCTCACGTAGAACATCCCTCTTGTATTTTTCAAAGAAAGAAAACAGGAAATATTTTTATCCACTTTAAAAATGAGTAAAAGTTAAGAAAAGAAGACAGAACTCCATTAGCTAGATGCAGAAGGCCATGTCCTCTACTCAATGTCCGCAGCTTGTCTCGGGTAGATGGGTGAGCACTGGTCCAGCCCCTCAATCTTTCTTGTCTCCCAGCCTCCAGTGGGGAAGAGGGGGAGGCCCAGGAGCAGGAAGAAGAGCTGCGCTCTGAAAGGTAAGGCTCTTCCCCTCCACCCGGGGCTCCCAGGGGGACTTGGCTTCATTGTTCCTGAGGGATGCGTCTCCTGGGAAGCCAGCCGCAGAGGCCGGGGGGGGGGTCCTGGGAAGGAAATCAGAACCTGGGATTCTCCTCAGATCCTGGGCTGGGCATGAAGCCAGGTGGGCAGGGAATGGGTGCTGCCCAGTAGGGGCCTGGATGTGGAGGGGGGCCCAACGGTGTACACCTGCTCAGCCTGGCTAAGGCCGCTTACTCTTTGAGGTGACCCCTGTCTTCTCCCCGACAGGGTCTGTGAGGACCCTGGGGGATGGATGTGGGAGCACCGTGTACATGATGAAGCACTTCTTGCTGTCACTCCTGGGGTCTCTTGGCCTTGGACACTAAGGCATGGGCTGCAGGGTTCTAACCCCTGACAGTCTGCCCTAGGGGGACACTCAGCCTCCAGCAAGATCCCCAGACCCCTCCCTTCCCCGTTAACCCAGCTCCTGATTTCCAGCTTGTAGAGACTGCCGGAGGGAATTGGAAGGGGCTCGGGACCTGATTTTACTTCTGCAGAGGTGAGGCACTCTCCCCTTCTCTCCCTGCCCTCCTTCATACCAGGGGCTGGGATGTGACCCCAGGGCCTGGGGCTGACCTGGGAGGTGGGGACAGGGAAGGGAACAGGATGTGACTAGAGCCCTGGGGCCTGGGAGGAACAGAGCTCTGAAGTCAGTATGGGGGCAGTGGAGGGGCCATGGGCCACAGGTGGGTGGCCCACCCACCCCTGCTGCAGCTGGTGCCTCCTGTCTCCTGCAGCAACCTGGAGAAGCTCCCTGACAAGGGGGACTTTCATCAGCTGTCATATTCAGACCCCCCGGGGGCGGTGTGCAAGCCACCACCTGCCAGAGCCCACCAGCCTCATGGGGAGTGTATGGAAGATGCTTCTCCTGCCACCTTCTCCACAGTGGCTTCCCCAGCTCCCCTGGCCAAGCACCCTCCACCTCTGGCCTCCAACTTGTTACCAGGCCCGACGACCTTCCCAGTTTGTGCTGGATCACACTCATCGCTGAGTGCCTCCCAGCGGCCAGAGCCTTTGCTTCCCCTAGAATGCCCTTCACCCCAGCCACGGGCGTTTTCCCTTCCTACACCACAGTCCCCTCCTCCTGTGGCCAGTCATCTGCCTCCTCCTGACGCCAGCCTGGCTACCGCTCAGTGTGACTCAACGGCACGCTCACCAGGCACTGTACCACAGAGCTGTTCTCCAGGCAACAATTGTTGGTTGTCTCCTCCTGTCTCAACGATCTTGGGCCTTGGTTGCTCCAGTGACCCTGTCTCAGCCCTATCCTGGTGGCAGGCAGCTGCCAGAGCTGGCACAGCCTGGTGTCTCTCCACCCCACCTGAGGGCAAATCCCAGCAAGGGCATCTTTCCAACCACCCACCAGAGGCTTCGTTCTGGGCAGACACCACACACAGGCAGATGGAGGCTGGTGGCCCCTCTTTCATCAACCCTGATGTCCAGAACTTACTGGAGATGCTCATCACCAAGAGAGCAGAACTGAAGCTGTGGAAGGGGAAAAAGGAGGGGTCATTTCTAAAACAAATGAGCCCAGATTACCCCTTCTGGAATGTGACAAACAAACCAGAGCAGCTGCCTGGTCCTCAGCAGCTCTCCAATCCCAAGCCCTTGGGGGATCGTTTACAGCAGAAATGCAGCCAGTGCTTCTGGGGCCACCCCTTTCTGCACAGTGAGTCCCTGGTGGCTGTGGCCTGGGTCTCTGGTCCCCCATTAGAGTTTCCCTCTGTTTTATTCAACGTACTCTCTAATTCCTTCACGGTACAAATTCAGGCCAAGCTACCTCCACAACTCCTTCCACCCCAGCCCTGGCACCAGCACGTGGCCCCACCCCAGCCTTTGACTGAAACCTTGCCCCAGCCCCAGCCCCCACCTCTGGCTGGGATTCACACCCAGGCCCGACTCCCACCCTCTCTCTCAACCCCACCATGCTATTCACATCAGATTACTCTCTGTGGTGTATCTTGCCCAACAGTCCACGTGAAGGCCCAATTTCCTATCCCAACTGCTATTCAACAACTAGAATGTCACCTTCTGAAGAAGCAACAAGAAAGCAGGAGGGTTTTACCCACAATAGTCAAAAAATCTCAGGAAGTCTTTAAGCAGCTCATTCCCAACGGCTGGGCCTCCCAGACCCACAAGTCTGTCTCCAGCCACCCAGGAGATATTATCAACCCTGAGCTCCAGGAGCAACTGGAACAACATCTACGAACAAGCTTCACAAAACACCAGGGCAAACTGCCATCCAGGAACCAGCTGTCTCTGGGCATGGTGCAGCCTCAGGGCAAATTTCCAGGGACAGGTCAGGCAAAGGAGAAGCAAAGGTCCTCAGGGCCCTCAGCCTTTGCAGGGGGAAGCAGCCAGAATATACAGGGCATGGAGTCCCAGGGCCCAGCAATGTGGCAGCTATGGAAAGACTCGAGCCCGCATCTGGGGCATTGTCTGGGGAGTGTCCAAAAAGATCTCTCCTGGGATTCAGAGAGCTCCCCAATGACAATTCCAAGGCCCAGCTCTGAGGAGGAGTTAGAAAGGGACTTGATGAGCTCCTCAAGAAGTAACACAAGAAATGACTTTCCAGGGAGCCCAGACAAGAAACATCTAGAAGACGTCCTGAAAGTCCACTTGAGCAAGAAGTTGGGGCAGATTATGGAAAACAGGATCCCTGTGAGTGTTCACCACTCCAGGCTTTCTATTGACCAAGCCTTGGCCCCTCCTGAAAACTCAAACACACACACAGAAACTGGAAATCTAGCATCCTCAGAGGGTCGGGAATCCTGCGAGGACACCTTGCAGGAACTTCTCCTTGACGCGGGCAGTCAACGTGTGCTGGAAGCACACATTAAAAGGTTACAGGTGAGGCGCAGGTGGGGCCTACCCCTCAAGATCATCAAGACCAAAAATCTATTTATGTTGAAAAAGGCTCATCCCCTGCTTGTTCCACACTCCACTTTTCCCTCCCAGGCCACCTGTGAATCTGGGGACAACTCCACAGCTGAAGTTCCCAATTTCCCAGAAGATCCTCGGGAAGATCCAGGAGAGAAGGTGACCACAGAAAAGACAGTCCTCAACCTGACTGGTCCTCTCCCTGTCCCCTCACCTGTGGGTGATGACCTCCAGATGGACCTGAGAGGGACCCACTCTGGTGACAACTGTGGACACACAGAAGATCCTGCCACTGTTCAGGAGGACAGGTGGCCTTCTCAGCCCCTCCCTTGCAGAACATGGCACAGTGAGATGGTCCTGGGGGCTGGGCAAGGCAGCCCAGAACAGAGTCCGAATCCAGCAACGGCCAGGAATGAGCTGAGGGAGGAAGAGGAGAGCGTGGCCTCAGGAGACCCCTGCAATAGCCTAGCACTGCTGGAGCTCACTGTAGGGTCCCAATCTTCAGGGGCCAAAGAGACCATGGAGCCAATGGAGGCCGAGGAAGAGAAGTCCCCTGCTTGGGAAGCCACCTTGGGAGCCAGTGTGAGGGCAGACTCCCACACCCTTAATGTCAACCCGAGCTCAGGGTCTCTGGGGAACAGTAAAAGCTCCCTACCCACAACAATTTATGTCACCCAGGACCCAGAAGAGCTATGCCTTAATGCACGGATTGTTAGTGAGTGTGAGCTGGCAGTGGAGGTGGAGCCAGAGAACCAGCCTCAAGGCCCTGCCCCCAACGTCTTCCTCCAAGACCGCACCACTGGCACCATCCTTCAGGACTGTGCCCCTGATGTTCTCGCCACAGACATCTGGGCTTCTCAGCCCTCTCTGTCCACAGCGAGTCCCTTCTCAGCCCACAGCAAGTCCAGTGGTGACACTGCGGGGGCATGCAACCTCTTATCAAGGGGAGGGAGCAAGATCCTGAAATTCCAGGACCCATGGAAGAGTCAGAGCAAGACATTTGGCCCCCCTGATGAGAGAGAGCGCTGTCAGAGGCCCAAAACAGGGGTGCACAAACAGAAGTCTGCAGGACCAAGGACCTCCCAAACCAATGGTTTGAGCCACGCTCCCCATGGTAGGGAATTAGCAGAGTTGCTAAGAAGCAAGTCCTCCCAGCTCCTGCCAAAGGAAGGACGGGCTCCTATAGGAAGCTCCTTTAGGAACAAGATGAGGCAGTTCCTGCAGCGGACTTTCCGCAAGAAAGGCCCAGGGCAGGAAGATCCCCTACGAAAACGCAAGCCTGCATCAGCCACCACCCAGTGTTGCGGACCAGTCACAGGCAGCGGGATGGCTGAAGCCCAGGAGCTCACGCTCACTATTGGACAAATCCTAGAGGAGAATATGGGACTTCACCAAGAACTTCCTGGATCAAAGGGAAATTGGTACAAAGAAGAACTCCAGGCCCCAGTGGGAGGGAGCTGCAGCTACCACAGGGGTCCCTGCCACCTAGAGCAAAGGAGAGCGAAGAGTGGTATAGCCTGCAGTCACCAAGCACCCCTCATGGGCCACAGCCATTCAGCCGAGAGCAGGTTGGTCAGATACAGGGACAGTAACTGGGTCTTCCCAGCCAGGCCCTGCCAGCATCAGCCAAGGGTGGCAAGAGCCTCCAGCCACCCTGTCCGCTGCCCCAGGCACTGTCGTCTACCTAGAGGTGTCTTGCCTCGTCAACCAGATCACACTTCTCCCACTTTTCCTGGTGAGAGAACTTTTCTCCCAGAAAAACTCCAGTTCAGGCAAAGAAAACCTGTTTTGCCTCGTGTGAGCACATTACAAATATGCTAATGATCTTTTCTTACGAAGACATAAAATTCATCCTAATACATGTGGTTTTTCTCATCAGCAGTGGTGATGGCTTCTGTCTGTGGGGTGCTGAGGAACAGGTAAGGGTTCAGTGTCCGCTCTCCCTGAGTGCAGCTTCTAGAAGAGATGGGCAAGGAGGAGGCTGCCAGGGCCTTGCAGACCCACCCTCACCCCAGGGTCCCTCTCTACAGCTCAGTCACTACAGAGAGTCTTCAGGACTGTCGGAACGGGCAAACCCTGTGGAAACCCTACCCTGGGACCTGGCTCAGCTCCTCTCTCCTGCTTTCCCTCTGCTGGGAACATTGTGCAGCCACGTGGAATGGATTTACAGAGGGTAGAAATTCCCCTGGACTCCAGGAACATGGGAGCCGAGCAGCGTCACTCCCTCAAAGTAGGCCTGGAGTTTCCAGGGCTGGGGGTGCTGGGCCTGGGTGGGTTGAAGAGTGGAGAGATCTAGCTACCCCTGACTCTTGTGGTGGGGAACAGACCACCCTGCCCAAGCCTGCTGAAGACTGGAGTAGAAGTGGGCCTCTGCTGGCCCCTCCGGCGTGACCGAGAGCGTGGGAGCCATCTGATGGAGGCACACGGAGAACAAAGGTGGGGCATGGGAGAAGAACATGAGAGGTGGGAGCCAGGCAGGCGGCAGAGCTCATGGGGTGCCCTGTGCACTGACCACCCCGTTCCCAGTGCCCCAGCTGGCCAAAGCGTTCAGGCCACTGCCCCAGTGTGGAGGGCAGGACCAAGGGACACAAAGCTGTCATGCAAGAAGGTGACTTATCCCACGGCATATGTGACCAGCCTGCGTGCCATCCCTGTGGAATTCCAGAAAGGATGAGTGGATGATAAGAGGGATCACAGCCTGGTGACCATTACAGATGCTTTGCCCCAGGGTTTGTCCCAGGGCACAAGGACTTGGAGGGCTGGGGCTGGCCAGGATCCACAGGAATTCTTGGGGCTTCACCTGGCCTGAGGCTAGCGGGGACAAGGGGGCTGAAGGATGTTGGCAAGCAGGGGCCAGAAGGGAATGTTCCCAATGGGTCAGGGGCAGAGGTAGGCACAGATCCCACACCTGCTGCCCCCACCGACACTGCTCCTACAGCCAGTCCTGTCTCTGCCAGGGAAGGGGCAGCCTCTAGGAGGACCAGCATTGAGGGGGCTCAGGACCCCAGGAGTGCTGGGGCCACAGCAGAGACCATAGGAGACACCCACAGAGGCCCCTGCCAGAAACCTGCATAGAGAAACCCCACACAGAGACCCCAGGGAGAACCCCTACAGACACTTCTGACAGAGACCCACACCAAGGGTGAACTCGGAGACCTTGCACAGAGACCCCCCCCCCTCAGGCTTCCATACCTCGTGTTGCCCACAGACCCACAGACCCTCCTGCAAAATCCTGGCACAGTGGTTCACATACTTCCCACACTGCCCTCCCACGCAGAACCCACCTGGGGACCATACACAGGCCTCCCACGCCCAACAGAGCCCCACCGCAGATCTCACAGAAACCCTCACCACCTCACAGAGGAGCTATCACTGCTGTCACTGGGCTCCCACAGCACCCCCTGGACCTCACAGAGACCTCCCAACAGATACCGCCCAGAGAGACAACACAGAGACAGCTCACTGCCACGTGGAGACCTCATCTTGCTCCAGAGACCTCTTATGCAGACCTCACACTGATTTCCCAGACACCTCACAGAGAAGCCACACTCTCACCTCACCTAGAGCTTGCAGAGACCTCCCACAGACACCTGACACCAAGCTACCTCTCACAGAGGACTTACCAAGAGACAGTGCACAGAGACCACCCACTGCCCACAGAAATCTCCACAGACCCATCCCACGGAGACCCCACATGCATTCTTCTCAGTAGTGGATCTGAATCCACTTAGCAAAGTGCCAACCCAGGAGGGACAACATCAGCTGTGCTCCAAGCCAAGAACCGAGAAACTCGGACATTGTCAACATTGTCAACATCCCTCAAAATGGGATTTTCTGCTTGGGGACTTGCTCAGGGATTGGGGCTCTTTTCTCTTGCCTCCGAACAGAATAATTACAGATTCTACCTGTAGATTTGCAAAATTCCTGCCCCCACAGGTTTCCATTAGCTTTAGCTCTGACCCACAATTGAGAGAATTATAAATTTTAAACACGAATAAGGTGCTACCAACCCCCGATGAGAGAAAAGTATCTTATTTGTCCAGTGTCAGTTATCATCTAGCCCAGTGGTATCCGTGTCACCTTTGTTTATTTCACTGGGGACGAGACCTGACTTTGAGATGTCTGTATGCTGACATAAAGCATATGAAACATGACAAAGACTTGCAGCAAATGGACCTAGAAAATGAAATAAACCAACAAAGAAGCATCTGGACTCACAGTGGCCTCCCCAGGGGCGGATGGCGGCTATGCAACTAGCACAGTATTTTGCAGTATCGAGCTTACAGGGTTTTATTTTTAAACGAAACAAGCTAACAATCGTGCAAAGATTTTTTTTTTTTTTTTTTGTTGGCGAATGAGTCAGATTTCTAGCAATATTCCTATTTTATCCTCTGGCAAAATTGTACTTATTTGTTAATAGTAATATTATTTTGTTCCTCAAAATGTGGTGAGGACTTCAAATGATGATATACATGTTTCCAGGATATGACCAAGTTCTAATGTTCGCCCCACATCGCTGAACTGATGGACTATTGAGAAGGATTCATTTTTTTAAATGATTCTAAGAAATGCTCAGGAGCGAGGGCAGGCTACCTTTTATGTTCATTTAGGGCTAAGAAGGGACGCGCCGCTTCACACGTTTGGAATCTTATCCCGGAACCTGTGCTTGAGATGTGCACACAGCCCAGTGAAACTAGTAGGAAAGGACATCTCAACATCGAATTGAAGAAACTGTGTATTTCATCAACGTTGGTATTAGAACAATGACAGGCCTCACTTGTTACATACCCGACACTTTCGAGAGGGCGCACTTCAGAGAAAGTCCACGTTCCTCGCTGCCCGTCGCCGACGTCTCGTTAAACTCTATTTTAATAGCATCTGTCAAGTCTGCGTCACTGATGAGTCTCTCAGACTATCCATCAGGATGAAAGCACCACCGTCCTTTCTCTAGAAGGAGCAAAGCCAACATGAGGGCTCTTTCAGCCCATTTGTTTCAACCGGAAGTTCCTTCCATTCTCCATAGTTATACGTTTATATCTATTATTATTTTTTTTCTACTTTACTCCCTTATCATGTCACTGAGTCACAAAATGATGGAATATGGTCACACATATCCTCTAGTACTCTATCGGATTACATGTTTTCATAGTGCAACTAACCCAAGTGAATTTAATCAGAATGCAATGGGGCCAAACAGAGAAGAATTCATGAAGGAACTACTTTACAAAAAGTAGTGTATTTTTTTCAAATTGACTTTTTTAACAGGGTTAAACTGATTATTCATCAGTATTTTGAATTGAAGGTGTTCAGGGTGGCCATAAGATCTGAAAACAGACATTCACAATAAACAGTTTATTGCTGAGATATGTTGAATACGCTATGCTAAGTCGCCATGAATAACGTACACTAGAACCACAGTCCCACCTGTCACTGCACACACCGCTGTCACATGCTGCCTCAGATGATCCGTGTGTCCAATTTTCACGGCCTAAACCTGCGCCTTCTCCTCAGAAGAAATAATCAAGAGAGTTCAATTTATTACAAAAATATTGTCAATATTTCCAGACTTTATGACCACCTGTATTTTATTTTTAATAAGATCACCTAATGCAAATCTTATAAACATTTTGCCATTTAATATATACTAAGGATTAATACCAAAAAAATGAGATAATGGAGAACAGAACAAAAACATACCTCCTTTGTTTTCAAAATTTTTCACACAAAAACATTTTGCTAAAAATGAAATGATTTCTTAAATCTGCAGGTAAAATGCTCTCTAAATGGAATTCAGGATTTATTATAAATGTGGTTTTGAAATAGACTTTTATTTAAAACAGGTCTCGCACTGATTTCAATAACTCAGGCACTCCAGAACACAGTGTGGAGGGCAGCAATTAGATGACAACAACACTAAGGGATAAAGATCTTTTCCAAATAAGCCAAAAAAATAAACAAACAAGTATTCATTCTACATTGTTAAGCCCTAAGAGCAGTTTCTCTTTATAGACTATAATATTACTCTCAGTTTCACGAGCTTTTACTTTATTAAAAAACTCCCACAGGAAGAAATTTCTCCAGACAGCTACGTTTTCTGTCTTGCACACACCACTGGCACAACACAACACACCCGGGTGGAGATGGAACCGTCAATCATCGTCACTGTGCCGTGGCCATGTGGACGGCTGCACTTCCCAGACAGGCTCACGCGTTCTCGGTACTCAGAGACTTGCTGTGCCATCTCTCCTCCCACGTTTTGTAACAACCAGAGCAGCCCATGTCACGGAAGACACGTGTTCCATGCTCTCCACAGCCATGATGCCACAGTCACACAACGGATGTGGGGGAACCAGCACCAGACAGCTGCAAAGTAATGCTGTGCCAGGCCCAGTAGCAGAGGAGTTAGACAATGTTGGTGTCTGTTCTAGGACATGCGGTGACACAGCTCTCTGGTTCTAAGCACTGTTGTGCCTCAGCCTTTCTTCCCCTACTTCACTATAATGACGGCTGCAGCTCTTCCTTCCTCCTGAGTCCACAAACCAGAATGGCCAACAGCTGTTCCCTGATGTTGTCACGATCTCTACCATTTGTTGCCAATGACCACTTCCCCAGACACCTCTCAGTTCAGGGATCCCCCTGAAACTTCAGAAGCAAAACCACCCCACCACGCTTTCTTTTCTTCCTGCCATAATTTGATGCTAGTAACACTTTACAAACCTACTTCCAATGGCAATG